GATTTAATTGAAATTCAGCCTTTTTACCTTTGGTTTTCTTACAAAGAGTGAAAGTCCCCATAAAATTAAATTGATCAGAACATTGACTGAAAAGAATAATTTTGCTTAGCTCCAAATATTGTTTTGCTGTGAGCTAAGATTAGTTTAATTTAGATGAACTTCGCACTTGGCGCTTGAATTTGACAAAATCATTGCTTTCTAATGAGGTTCTTTGGTTTGTTCAAATCCTCCTTTTTCTAGGGGAGCACTGTTCCACCAGCAGGTTTTCCATCTGGATGGCCCTGGCTTGTATTCCTGGAACACACCATTTGAAACAAACCCTACAGGGTACTTTTCATGAATTTTCTTCTTCTTCTTCTTTAAACAGTCATTTTAGTATCAGAAGACATTGCATGCTCTCCCTCATCCTTTCCTCCAAGCAGGAATAGTACTGTGAGAACTTTTCAACATGGAAACAACTCCAGCATCTGGCCTGCCAAGAGGTCAGGTGTGTGCAGGTAGATTGACGTCTCTTTGCCATGTTCCTTCCTCAGCTGTCTCCTGCTGACTTTGGTGAAAGATTTGTGTATGCAAAAACCACTTGGGTTTTCCGTGGTGTTAGCAAGGAGTGGGTGAAGCTGCAGTGCTCCACAAGAACCAGCTACAACAGAGCCTGTTTTCTTTGGCTCTTCTCGTTGAGACTGTGCTCAGGGTGAGCAGTGCTTACGTCAATTGCTTCTCTTTTGCAGGGCTTTGCTGTCAGAGGTGAAGTACCAAAGAGAGAAGAAAGCAGAAAATGAGGAGCTGGTGGCATTTTTGACTACAGGGATGCAGTAAGTCAGCAAACCTAGATTTATTGGCTTGATTATTGGTCTGCTGCTGGCAATGTCTGGCTCAGCAATGAACCAGCTGGTTGGCAGCGCATTCCTTTATTGGTTATTGATAATCAAACACAAAACTTTCAAAGAGCCAGGTTTTTTGAGAAGTCACTTGCTCGTCACTGTTTGTATTGAGTGACTAACTTCCTTTCACACAAAGGTCTGACACCTGCATGGACAAACTCTTCAGAAAGAGCAATAGACGGCAGGGGGTGTTTCAAGTACTGCTCTTTGGTCCTTTTCTGGGCTTAGTATATCTTGTTCCTCCTTTACTTTTTACTTTTGCAAAAGCCTGACCAAAGGGAGAACAGGAGTCACTCATCTGTTTCTTATGAGTGTCTGCTGCTATGGCAGGCGGGTGTGCTTTTCTGAGTACCTGTGAATAGCTACTGGCTTTCAGTTGGAAACCTTGCCTTTTAACTGCACTGTAATTGTTTCATCTCTGCCGGTGCTTTTGCCCCCACACACATTCTCACTCATTCTTGTTCCTTCAAGAAGTTCTGCATCAAGTAAAAAAGAAGCCCGTGTGGTCCATGCTCTTATTCACATCTCCTGTCTCACTCTTCATGAAATCTGCCACTGATGTTTTAGACACACTTCACACGGAAATGGTTTTTCAAGCTTTTGCAATTTTATTGGCACTTTGGCTTTAGCACAACAGCTGATTTTGATGCTTGCAAACTTGTACAAAGCGTAACCTTGAAAACAGAAGAGGAAAAGAAGAATTGTTAGTGTTTTGGAAGTCTCCTTATTTTGGTGCAAACATGTTATATATGTCTTTAATAAAAGAATCAGGCTAAGAGAGTGGACTTATTCATTTGCTTCTCTTATGAGCTATGAAGTTTTCATCATTCTGGAAAATTATTTCAAGGAAAAAGCTAGAAATTGTGAATCTTAGGAGTGCAGCAAGAATGTTACTTCAGTGCTTAAAAATTATTTTTGTATTTAACTGACTCAGAAAAGCTGCTTAACTCTCCTTCTCAAAAACTGAAGGTTCCTTTGGAGGTAAGTTGATTAACTGGGTCCAACTGTGCTCTCAAGCCACTTTCCTAATGTCTTATTTCAACAGATTTTTATAGCATGTCTATGTATGAAAAAGTTCTCTGCAAAAGATAAAAAGATTAGAATTTCCCCAGTTCACCTGTCCTCTAGTAAGGAATAGGAGAAGTCAACAGACTGATACTGGAGATGCCAATGTGCACCTTGGGTGGTGCAGCCTTACTTCACTTTTCTCCTAGTGTCCTTGGCTGAATCTGTGGAGACAGGTTCTGGGAAACTTAGTGCAACCCTTTTCTTTCAAAAAAAATTTGATTACGTTCTTCATTAATTTGAACTTCCATGGAATAAGATATTTGTGTGTATCAGACGTTGATGCTTGTTAAAATAAATGATATTTTTTAGTGATGACAAGTTATTCAGCATAGTTATGTTGAAATCTGCCCACAGAATGTTGTAGAGACGTCACACTGCTGCCTGTTTCATGAAAGGGCAGAGGAAGCAGTATCAGTGAGCCTTGCTATACCTATAGCCTTCCAGATTCTTCCACAGAATCTCCCTCTCCAGAATTCCACAGGAATTGTGAAGTAGTCTTTGCACTCACTGACACCTATGGTTGTTACTAGAAGTAATTTAACTGCAGGTACTATGAAAGTCAATTTTCATGACAGTTTTGAACAGCAGAGATCTCAGGGTTATTTCTATAGGTGGCAAATTTGTTGTTTCACCTGTGAACACAGAAACAAAATGCCTATTTTCTGACCCCAAAGTTTCCGTGGAAGTTTGTTCAATTTCCAAGGGATCTTCTTCCTGTAGAGTTGCTTACGATATCTTGTTATAAACAAGAATAAATGCTTGAAACAAATCTGCAATATAAAATTCATCCTAGACATAATTTTCCTGGGAAAAATGGAATTTCCCCTTTTTATGTGATAAGAGCATAAGCAAAGCAATCGCTTTAGAATGGGAAGCAGTCTGTAATCAAAAGCAAGTAGAGCATGGATCATGCGTTTGTCACCTAACACAAAACCAGGATGTTTATGTTAGCCAACATTATGTTTATGTTAGCCAATATCCAGCACAGACAGAGAAATTGAGGCCGAGAAACTCATGTTTGCATTCCCTGTACTTCTAAGGAAGAGCTGGAAGTATTTTTCAGGGACTTTCCAGTATTTCTACCCGTGACTTCCTCTATAGTTTACAGTGTTTATACATTAGAGAGAAATATACTTTTGTTATTGCAAGGACAGCAACCACAGACACTCGAGGGGACAAATTGCAGCCCTCAATACAAGAGCGGAACTCCAGCAACCAGGCATGGGAAGGGGAGTTTGAGGATAGGGAAATCACAGGAGGTCATGGCTTGGTCAGTTGATAGTTTATAAGGTTCTATTTTGTCGGGCCAGTGTTTTATGAGCCTTCAAAAGGGAACCTAATACACCCAAGGATAGCTTAGCTATTACCTTTGGAGGAAAATAATGAGCAGGATGGCTTCTGCTGCAGTGTTAGAAACAAAAAGGTTTAATAAAAGGCAAAATAACAAACAGAAAAATCCGAGCCAGGTACAGTGGTTTGCCCCTGGTAGAAACACCTTCACAAAAGCAGTTTAGTTCTTTTGTCTTCCTCTTTTTCTACCTTATGGGCCAGGCGGGACTTTTTGGCTTCTATCCAGTTAGGTGACCCCAAGGTTTTAGTGAAGTCTCTGGGGTCCTATAAGGTGGCTTTTCACCTGATCGTTGGGAGAAACTTCTGGGCTTCTTTCCTTTTTTGGGGGACAAAGGCTAGCTTGCCACTCTGTCATTAGGGGGCACTCTCCTACATTCCTACAATAGTTGTAATTTCTTTTGCCCCCAAATGAGCCTGTCTGTGCAAGAAGGAAATAAAAGTGGTTTGAAGGGAAGGTGAAGTAAGGGGCCAAGAGAATAGCGGAGGACAGAAAGGATGTGTAAACCCCTCTGCTGCATTTTATTATGCAGAAGGCACTGCAATGAAAGGGAGGTGGTGAATGCACACGGCAGCTGTGAAGTGGAATGGTCTTCTGACAGTCTTTTAGAAAGACAGTTTAGATGCTAAATGAAGTGACCGAGGGGAGCAGAAACTTTCATGAAATTGGGAAAAGGAGGAGATGGACAAGAGCATGTAGTTAGCTGCAGTGAAATCTCAGGGCCCATCCTTTCACTGTGGTGCAAGAGTCCTGACCCTTAATCACTTGCTGGCCAGCTGCCTGCTGCGTTACACAGACGTGCACACAGACACTGACTGCACGCTCTGCATGTTTCCATAGTGTGCACTTCTCCTTGTGGCTTCTGCATGGCCTGATGGCTGGAGCGCCACAGGGCACGTTGTTTAAAGCGGCAGAACTCTTCTAGCTGATGCCAAAATAAAATGGTGAGGGAGAGGACCAGCATGAATCTTACTAAGAAGCGTCTTCAAGAAAAAACAAGCCAGAGACAGCTGTCTTATTTTATGACCACAAAGTTACCCAGCAAAAATCCCTATGCTGTTTTATTACTATCTAGATTGTAGATAAAAGTGAAATAAGAGTGTGCATTCCTCAAATGAACAGTTATACTGCAGTTAAAAACAATAGTCTTTAAACTTATGCCCTTTTTCTCTTATTCCCTGTTTTTTTCTAGAAGGTTTTTAAGAGAGGCAGACATCATGTGTTCAGCACACTGCATTTCAGAGATCAGAATAGGAAGCAGTTGTTACACCAGGACAAGTGCTTACTTTTTGGGTACCCAAAGTAATGGTCAAAATTCCCATTTCGATGGTTAAATAGTGGCCTTTTGTTGTAGTAAAGATTTACAACTGTGAAGCTGAAGTGGACACTTAGCAGTGTTTAAGCATCTGGGGGTAAAACTCTTTTATCTTCAATGGAATTAAAGAAGGGGCCTTGCCCTAGATAGAGCCCACCAGTCCCCATGAATTGGGAACAGCCTGAAGAGAGGAGAGTGAGCCACTTACCCTACCCTAAGAGTCTGTGTTGGTTTAGTGAGGAGTGCCAGGTTACCACAACAGGGGGAGTTATGGCACCATGGACTTAAAAATTTCCATTTCAGTTCCAGAAAACAGGCTGGCAAAAATAAAGCGGAATTTTCAAATAAAGCAAATGAAGATTTAAAAGATCAAGCAGATAACAAATGGTTTTTTTATATATAAAAAATTTAATAGTACATTTTTAGGAATAATTACACTCTCATAATCAAACTCTAGGTATGTAAAATGCTGTTTTTTCCATTAGCTGATGGAGTTGTTAAGTAGACATAAAATCAAGTACAGAGTAATGAGATTGTGAATATTTCTCCAGAAACAGATAGCAGGAACAAAAAATCCAGTAGAAATTAAATAAGTTATAACTCTTTGCTTTCTTACATAGCAACTGCTCAATAAATACATTTATAAATACTATGGAAATCACAATACATAAATACTAAATAGAGTGTTACACATTCTGTGGGTTAGGTTTTTCAAGTGAGACATCACAGTTCACAGTCTGGCCACAGGCTGACCGTGGTGCAGGAAGCTGTTGTTGACACAACATACTGGCGCGCTCCAGGGGAGCAGGAGGATTCATCGGTTTGCTGGTGAAATAGCAAAATTATCAGGCTTAGTGTGAATAAGCTGTGCTGCAGGTGCATTGCACCTCACTGCATATGTTTGGCTAAAGTGGCTGCCAAGGGGTCTCCATCTCCTTCAGCAAACCACTTTTCCTTCAGTGTCACACAGTGGGCAGCATGTCCCACGGACAACACTGACCATAGCAAAAGACTTCCTTAAATACACACAGTTAAATAAATAGATAAATAAATAAAAAACCCCATCAATAATTAACATCATAATACTAATGTGGGGTGTGGAAGATGGTGCATTGCTTGAATGATGCTTTCCCCAAACATTTCTCTTGACAGAGGAGCTGAAGCAGTTCCCAGATTTTTTCTGTCCTGGTGCTTCTTAGAGAGGAGAGTCAGAATTTTGTTGAGCCCTGTTAAGAAGGGAAGGAAGAGGATAATTTAAAAGAAGGTTCAAGTTACCACTGCTTAGCATTGCACAAACAGTTTTGGACGTGGGGTCTCTTTCCCATTCTTTGTGCTACCTTAAAGCACAGGGAGAATAAAGTTGAAGTTTCAAAAGCAACTGCTGAAATCCCAGTGTGTGCATGCCCGGTGTCCAGCTGGGAAACCTCTGCAGCACAAGCTTCTGCAGTTCCTCACAGCAAGAACCTCATTAGCTCAAAAATAGCAACTAAGTAAGGGGAAGATAACTTTTTAAAATCCTTATTTTTCAAAGGGAGAAAAACACTTCTGTGCTTCCCTGCAGAGAGAGTTGCTGGTACTCAGAGGTTTAGTACTGACATACCAGCTTGAGCAAGGACCCTGATGCACAGCCAGAAAAACTAAGACTGAATTTATCATTAAGCAGGAAACTTCCCTGTTCTTTAAATCTGATTAAGAAAGAATGGGAACTATCGCTATGGAATCCTACAAACTGGCTTTTTCTGGGAGGTTTGCTACTCAGCTGCTCAGACAGAGAGGTAATGGGACTTACCTGGCCAAAATTGCCTTTACAATCAGCTGTACCCAAGGAGCAGTGGGCTCCAAGCACACCTCTCTGCCATCCTTCAGAGTAGCTCTGCAAAACAGGGAATAAAGAAAAGTCAGGAATCTGCAACATTGATTTGTTTTACTCACAGAATGTAATCTTGCATTTTTAGATCAGCTAGTATAAATTCATCCCAGCTACTCTAGGTAAGATTTGGCTGTTTTGCTTTATACAACTGAGGAGACCAGAACCATCCAGAATTGTGTGAGTCTCTGTATCTGCTCTCTAAGCAGAGTTGCATTCCCAAAAATCTTTCCCTCTATATATGAATACTTGTTTTGGATGTATTTATATTACTAAAGCTTTCTTAAACAATGATTAAAGTCTCCACTGGTGAAAAGGTGTTTGAGCAGAATAAGGATTTTAACATTTTAGTGCCTTTGTGCTGTTCAGGTTAGGTTGGTTCATTGTTTCCCTAAATCTGCTTACTGGAATTTTGTTTTTCTCCTTGAGTCTGCCTGCCTAATAAATGCAGGATTCAAACTACATCTTTACCTTATGTACTAAGAGCTGGCAAGTCCATGAAATTCACGTTCTACTACTAGAAACATTTACCATGTCCCCTGACAGATAAACAATAGTGAGTTCAGGAATACGTAAGGTCACAGAGAGGGTGAAAACAGAATATTTCCCTTAACACCATCCCTCTCAAAATAAAAGCCAAGTCTGGCTGCATGAGGTCAGTGTGCTGACTGTGGTACTTGTGAAGCCTAAAAGCCCAGCAGCAGTGGCAGCAGTGCAGGGGAAGAGGAGGGAAACTCTTACAGAGCTACTTACATGACTTCAACGTTCTTGCAGTGGGGGCCGCTCTGTGTCAGCTTCACGTCTTGAATGGATTTCGGGGGAATGAACCTGGAATGAGTGGCTATGCACTGGCACCGCAGCTCGGTTCCCATCCTTGCCAGAGTCCTGCCTGTGAGCAGAAAAGGCAGACAGGGGTTTGACAGGTGCTCTTACAGTCTGTGTATCAGATATAAAGCACAGCTACTCTATGGTAACAACATTCTCAGTTAAAACACTGCATTTGTCCAAGCTGCCTAAATCTCATGTCGTGGGGAGAGTTACTTAGGTTTCAGAGGAGCTGATGCCCAAGTACACTGGAAACTAAATTAACAAATCTTTTCAAAATTAACCCACATATTTTGTGGTTACTAACCATACTGACTACACAGTGTGGTTAATTGCATTGTTTTAATATCTGGATCAAAAAACGTGGCCAGTCTGCAGAAAGCAGAGCCCTAGATTTGTTCATTAATTGGAGGTTTGCCCGTGTTTCTGTGTTCATATTGTTTGCTCTCCCTTTCCAGCTGTGTGTTACTTCCTTGAGGCGGCACGGTCACTAAGCAACAAATATGAGACGATAAACTGTTATTTGTGTGGGAAGGGAGAGAAACATCAGAACACTCCAGAACAAAAATCTGTCTCTAGCCACAGAGGAACCTGTCTCTAGCCACATGCACTTCAATAGAAGCAGAAACAAAGCAAATGCAAGTTGCATCCTTAACATATTTCCCACAAGATGTCAGTAACTCTTCAGTCTGAGGTCTACGTGGTAAATTTCTGACTGAAGAGAGGTGCTGAAAATCTCTCAAAAGAGCCTAATTTAGTGAAGCAAATAGAAAGCTACCCTTCAAGGACAGGCATCTCAGTTGATGCCTCGGCAAAACTGCAGCCAAGGGGGCTTTGGGAAGCTTTACTTACCTTGAGACACAGCTGCTGAGATCAGGAAAAGAGCCAGGACAGCTACGAGTTTGCTGTTCATGGTTGGACAGGAGTTTTTTGCTGGCCTGTTCAGGTCTAGTTCTGTGAGCTGGAGTTCCAAAGGATTGTTGATTTCCGCTGTGTGTGAGGACTGTTGATTCCTGCTTATATACTGTTTTTTGCCCAGCCTCTGTTCTCTGCTGGCATGGAGATTGCGTTAGAGGAATTTCCCAGTTGCAGTAAAAATGAGTCACATGACTATTGTGAAACTTCTTCCTAGATGACGAGGAATTATTCTGCAGATACGATTAATACAATCTATTAATTTATTAAAATATGTCTATGATAGTCACACATTCCAATTATTTCGGCAGACTTGTCAATTTTCTGCTTTTTCTAAAGCATATCCTTATTTAATAATACAACTTTAAAATGGTTTCAGTTACATATATGTTGTCACTTATTATTACTTTCCTCGGGGTTATAACTGTTCTTTGTAGATTTATCAGATCTATACTTGAGATACTGAATTTCTTATTCCCAGTTAAGGTGACAGCTTCTGCTTACCTGATACAAGCCACCAGAGTGGAATTCAGGCAGTGCTGAAATTACTGAGATGCTCCTTATTGGGTCATGATTTTACCTCAGCATTATCTTGACATAAAAGATTTTCATTTTAGTTTTTTTTTCCTCCGTGCAAGGGGCATGGCACAAAGTAAGTTCATCACTAATTCTTTGTGGCTAATAAAGGCTGCAATATTCAAAGCTTTCTGCAGGAAGCAGATATTGAATTCTGAATGGATTTGAAAATCATGCTGGTACTTTTCATGTTACACATGTTAATGGATGATAAACAGAGGAAGCTTTACAAACAAACTAAACAGCTGAACATAAATGATTTTGTTTCCTCTACAAGTCCAGACATTTTTAATAAGTCTTTTCTGACATCTTTTTCAGTGACAGCAACCCTAGTTTCTAGCAAAGGGACACAAGAGTGAGAGTTATGACACTGTACAGAGTTTTCTGTTAGGGATCGTTGTTGTATGAATGCTGAGCTTCTATTTGCTGTGGCTGGGGATAACACCTTGCAAGGGAGACAAATCCAAGGGAGGATGGGGTCAAATGCTGAACTTTTGCTTGAATTAAGATCTGTATTTTCAAACCCAGATGGAATGTGTGTGATTAGGAGAAAGCCTTCTGTTTCAGTGCAGTAAAAACACAGTCCTTCTGATATGATGACTTTTGCTGCTTGTTGTCTTCAAATTCAAAGTTTTGTGGTTTTGGGATCTGTGGATTGAACAAAGTACTTCTCCCCAAATTTGGAGACTTCACAAAAACTCAATCATCTTTGGCATGTAAAGCATTGCAGTTTATTTACAGTAAGAATGGAATAGTTTGCCCATAATTTATTGTAGTTTCCTGTCATTAACTTGATAAAATTCCTGTCATTAACTTGATAAAATGAATTCCTTGTAATTAACTTGATAAAAGGAACTTAGTGATAAAAATTCATTTGTGTCCTATCGCTGTATGGGCTGTCCCAGGAAAAGATCCAGCATCTTTGTCTCTCCTACCTCTTACTGAGTATTTAGTTGACAAAAGATACTGATTCTGACTCCTGATGGTGCTGCTACTTAGCTGTGTCTCTTAGAGAACTTCAATCAAAAATACATTTACTTCTCTGAAGGTGTGAACCGGGAGAGGGCTTTGCTGGGAACAGAGGGTTGTGTTTTATTGTTTTTATTCTAGTATGATGAATACGTTGTATTATATTAATGTGTGGTTTCACTGGTGCCACATTGTAGATCTTGGAGTTTTAATGAATTTACTTGGAAGATTTTGCTGGCATTTTTTCAAGTTCTTTCTTTTGAGTTCTCTCTGTGTCTCCATATATGTATGCACACACACGGAGGTTAAATTAACATTTGATTAGAGATCACACTTTTCTTAGTTACTACTTGCAGACTTATTATATAATATTGGTGTGTGCTGAAATGTTATTAATACCTCAGGAAATAAAAGAGAATTCCCCTTCAAATCCCCAAGTGAAATCAGTGAGTGCTTGTGCTCCTGACCACCAGGCTCAGCTATTTCCTGCCGAAATTCCCAGGGCAGAAGTGAAGCCAAGAGCCTGCTCCACCTATGATGAGCCCTGCCCCTGAACTAGGAGTGAGTATCTGTCTAAAAGAGCAGGAAGTTTGTAATGGAATATAAATCCCTGCACTTTTTCACCAAAGTTACAGTTTCATTGGGACTGTGTGAAGGGAGAGTAAGAGAGACAGTTTGAGGTGTGAGAACATCGAAGCACGAGATCAAGCCCAAAGGCCAGGCACTCCTAAGCTGTGTTTCTGGGAGTGCCATGTTTCACCCAAGCTCTCCCTGGATCCCTTCAGCACCATGCTCAGGATCTCATCCAGGCTTTTGTTATGACAACTGCAAATCCATTATGGGATTCTGGCAGCTCGTTTCCCTGCCAGCCATCAGAGATGACTTGTGCAACTGGAATTGCTGCTCCTTTGGAAGGATCGCATCAGTGAGTGAGCTGATACTGCCGCGAGCAGAGACCTTCCATGCTAAACCCTGTAAAAACCACGCTGGCAGTGAACAAAACAACGCTTACACAACAGTCTGACTACTGAAAGACTGCTGAAAAGGAAGCAAATACCTCCCGTGCCTATGTTCTAAGGCAGGCTTGTGTTCCCCATGTTGCAGGGTGGAAACTAGTGGCTTGTCGTGACTCATCAGCTTGTCTAGTGAGCACAAAAGTCAAAAGGGCATCTTTTAGGATCTTGCCTGGGACCCGTTATTCTTTGCATGTAGCAAAGGATGCCCCTGCACTAGGGACACAATAAGGGGGCTTCAGGTCTACTGAGGCTGAGCTTCAGTCCATTACTGGTTTGAGTCGCTCCAGGTCCAGAGGAATGCTCCAGCTCCTGGGCTGATAAATTTACCCTGAGAAAATTAAGAATCTGTCTTGTTTTAGGCAAATTCCATCCTCTCCCTTGAGAAGTTGTGCACACAAGACCCAGAGGCCCAGGAGGCCAACCTTTTGCTGGAATGAGGATGCTGCTGGTCTGCCAACTCCTGCCTCCTGTGTGTTCTCTGTTCCAGCTACTCTTGTACCCAGGGAAAATCTCACTCTGGCTTCTGAAACCACCTCCTTTTCCCCACAAGGGCCTTGGCATTCAGCTGCCATTCCACTTGAGCTGCAGAGGGCTGAAGGGACAAATACAAGAGCTGGGAAATAATCGCTTCCGCTGCTCAGAAGCTGCGCCCGGTGTTGTGCAAACACTTGTGGAAGTCTGCAATGAGGCAAAGGTTAGGGAGCAGACACATAACAAGCAAAATATCTGCTAGATATCAGAATTGCTATAGGAGGAAGTGATAGCAAGGAGAGGAGAAAGGCTTAGGTCAGCTTGTGGGGTTTTTCAAACGTCAGTGTTTAAATATAGATGGTTATGTAGCCTTAGTCAGATCACAGTAAGTGCTGGACTTTCCTGAATCCCTCTGGAATCACAAAGTAGGTTGTTATGCCTTTTAATATATGTATTTATAAAAACAGTAGTATGTTACTGCATATTCATTTTTTATATGCTTTTCAGCTCTGCTTGAAAAGACTCAATTCTGTATTGTAGCTTTACTTAAAAATTGTTGTGGATTACGTGAAATGTTTAATTTGCTCCAAGTCAACATGAAAATGCATTGAAAATATTAATATAAGGTATAAAGTAGTAAAAGAAATGGATGTACTAGTATCGCCTGTAGTGTTAACATAAAATACTAGAAAATACTAACAAATACACATACTACAAATAAAATTTATCTGCATGGTATGAACAGAAGAGATATTAAGTCCACCTAGAGAGTTGTAAGGCACCTGCACCTGGACTTTACCTGCCTTATAAGGCTGCATTTATTATTATATTTATATAACATATTAATATTGCATATATTTATCTTGCATTTGCCTCTCATCAGCTCAGCCAGAGGCATTTTCTGACTGTGCAAGTCATGGAAGTGGCAGGAGGAAATACATGGTGAGTTTGAAGAAGTTTGTGCCAGGAACTTTTGATTAAATTAGAAGTGGTCAGTGGCCATAAGACACATCACACCTTCATCTCTAACTCTCATAATGAGATCTGTTTGGTGTAACAGCTGTAATATGTAAATTTGATGATCCAATGGATCTCCAGCTGATGGACAGGTAAAACCTTGCTGCTCACGAAAACCTGGTGCTGGGGCAGCAGGAAGGAACAGAGGATGTGTTCAGTCACATCTGAGTCCAGAGCTGCTTCGGGGAGGGGGCTGCTGGGGGTCCAACTTCAAACCCCACTGCCCACCTGGGGCTCACAAGACTGAATCCCACAGGGCATTTTTGAGTCCTCCATCACTCTCACCATGTGTGTCTAGTTTGATGAGTGCTGGTAGAATCAGAAATCAGATTTATATGGCCAGCCATAAACAGCAAATCACTAAGACAAAACATCTTTTTGACTGTAGAAAGAAATTAACAATAAATCAGTGGGAATTGACACATCAACATTAATGTTCAGCCATATATGCATTGCCCTGGATCCTGGAAAAACAACACAGAATAAATATGTAAGCTGCAAAACCCTTTTATGTAACAATAAATGTGGTCTATTAGGGTGTCAGATAGAACATGGTGCTCAATACCAGGGTCACAGGTTCAACCCCCATGTTGGCCTTTTGCTAAGAGTTGATGATGAGACTTGATGATCTTTCTGGGTCCATTCCTACTCAGACAAATTTGTGAGCTAACATGAGAGAAAAAAATGGACCTAATATTTTCTGTTATATTGAAGTAAATAATGTGCTCTTTCATTTGGAAATATGACTTCTAAACTTCTCTTGTATATATGTGCATGTGTGTCTCTCTGCCTGCATCTTCCTGTCTGTGAGTGCAGAAACTGCAGCACAACAAATAGAAGTAACAAGGGTGATGTAGTCTCTCTATTTTTAGCTGCTCCCTTCTGAAAGCCATGAGCTCCCGGTCTTTACCCCGAGGCTTACAGTGACTTGGAACTGTTGATGAGACAGGAGGTATTTTAGGTGTCAGCCTGGGCTTGCTGGCACCTCCCTTACACCCAGTCAAATCCCATTTAGTCACTTACAACCACTCTTCATTCCTGATCTGATATTCCTATCACACACCCAGCACCGAGATCTCTCCCCTGTGTGCTGATGGTCTGCCTAGAATGTTTTACTTCTGTAGGAGCTTTGCAATTTTTTTCCTGTGTCGATCACTTTGGCTACTTCCTGCAGGGAATTTCACCTGGTAGTTTGTTGTCTAATCAGTGACTCTCCCAAGGTCCTTCTGCAATTCTTTATAGATGAGCCTTGTTTTTACATCATTTAGCATCACCAGAGTACCTCAGCTCATGACAAATGACCTTCCCAGATCCCACGTGGGGCAGCCAAAGCTAACAGGACCCCACAGAAGGTGGTTGTAAGAATCCATGGGTGATGTCTCTTTATCAATGAAAATTGATCGTTTCGTTCTGCCCTTCATCTCTGTGTACTCACCTGTTACTTGTGCATTTCCAAGACATGTTTCTTAGCCTTATTATTTCCAACGTTTAGTGAGGGCTGTGAAAGGATTTCAGAAAGGCAGTCTGACTCTACCTGTGAGACCTGCCACATCCATCCATCCTGCCTTGTTTTCACCTTCAAACAACTGCAACAAGTGCATGAGAGATTGCTTCCTTCAAAGCTACACAGAAGTTTCTTTATTATGTGCTTTTTCATGTGTTTGCTTATTCTATCCATTCTGCCTCTGTTTAAGTCAGGCCATTTAGGGGTAAGTAACTTCATCTTGTTTATTCTCATCCTTACAACACTTAAACACTTTCATTAACATTGAACTCCTTGATCTATCACAGAGAGAAGTTTAGAAAGAGCGACAGCAAAGAAAATAACATGAATCAGCAACCATCTCAGGGAAAGAAAAATAATCAATTGTAGTGATGTAGCAGAGGGGCCATTCTCATCAGAAATCATGGAATTCTCAGCAGCAATGTTTTCTCTCATTTCATGACCTTGCAGAAATCCAAGGTTTATTCTTCCTTGACTTTTCTTTGACTGGTGACTCAACAGTGTCCCTGGCCCTGTAATGCCATTAAGTACAAAGTGAATTCAGAAATTAAAGAAATGATTACTATTAATACAAGCTAAGGGAGATCAGTAAGCACTGACCAATCCTTAATTACTTATTTTTACTGTACCAACCAATTGAGATTTGTGCAAAGAAAAAAACAAACAACCAAACAAAAGAACCCCAAAACAGCTCCTGCATGAACTGCTTCAACAGAAAGAACTTCCATCTGCCTGTGTGCGAAGTAGGGATTTGACCATCCCCGTCTATAGGAGTGAAAGCTCTTGGAAATGCTGTATGTCTGAATTTTACCTAGAAAGAGGAAGTGAGTTTTGAGACCTGGATTTTTGGAGATGTCAAACACGCAAAATGTGCTGTCTCTCAGCAGAGGTTTAGGGGTATCATAGCCATGGCCCTTTGGGTGGTTTAACACACCAGGAAGATATCAAAGGAAACTGTTTCGCTCCTCAGGCATGTAGAAATATTGCTTTAGAGAGAATTGATGGAAAGAATTACCTATGCCTGAAGAGGATGAACATTTGCACGCCAAGAATTTAAGTAGCCTTCTAAAACGAGCTCTGAAGTGCAGGTGTTGTAGGAAAGGGAACAGCTCACCTGGCCAGCAGAGCCTTTACAGTGAGCCGGATCCAGGGCGCAGCGGGCTCCACGCACACTTCCCTGCCATCCCTCAGCGTAGCTCTGCCGAGAAAGGAGCAGAGGAGTTAAGGCCAGGTGTGTCCCTCACACTTCTCCTAATGGCTGGAATTTCTCTTAGCCAGTAGGTGAAGAACCTGTTTGTTTTTTCTTATGTGTTTGGGGGTTTTTGTGAATTATGTCAGTACAGGTGTTTATGCTATAATCTTATAATGAGCCTAATGGATTTTCTATTTGGTTTCAGTTCTCTATCTGGCCATACTTTAGAAGATTTTTTGGGAACTTAATTATCTTGAAAAGTTGTTTTTTCTAACCAAGCCTGGCTTAAATTACCAGTTCCTAGTGAGGTAGAATGGGATGCCATGCAGTGCTGCACAGAGGGTATAATTGTACAACCATTATTTGCTTAAGAAACCATAGTGAAAGCATAAAAGCCTGACTGAGCCCTTCTGTTTCCTGACTGCACTGCCCTGGTTCCTGTGACTAGTTCCAGGAGTGGTTTTAAATGAAGCCTACTGCATCTTCTGTTTTGTAGCCACATGGAGTATAATCCTAATTCCCCACTCCTCTCACAGGGAAATGTTCCGTGTGAAATTCTGAAACAGGAAATAACTTGGGGCCTTTCAAACCTTGTCACATGCAGGCCAAGTCAGAGGAAATTGTTTTGATCCATGTCAAGAGGACCCAGTTTGTATCTTTGATTGATTCTTCAATGTCTAAGTTATTAATTGTGCTCTGTGTTGTGGGAATCTGATTCTCCCATCTAATGTTGTTCCTAAGTAAGATGACAGAAGGAGAATTAAAATACTCTCTGGAAGCTGCTTGTAACACTGGCTGTGAATGAGCTTATTCCTTTGGACATAAGGCCTCATTCCTGATACTTGATGTCTCTGAGGCTTTGCTAGGGAACCATCCTGCCACTCAAAGTACATGAGTAAATAGGATGAGAAATGCTGGATCAGTTCCTCCTGTAGGAAGCAAGGTACTGTTTAGGAAAAGTACTCACATGATTTCCACATGTTTGCAGTGAGGTCCTCTTTGGCTTAACCTCACATCCTGAATAGTCTTGGGAGGGATGAACTTGGAATGAGTGCTTATGCACTGGCATTGGGAGCCTCTTTCATCTGTCTCCTCCAAGGCCTTACCTGTGGAACAAAATTCTGTTATCTTGTCTTGGTTTGAAAAGACAGGAGCTTGTGAAGGAAGGCAAAAGCCTCCTGTGAAATGGAGAAGGTAAACCCCCTCCCTCCGAATTATCACAACTTCAGAATTAAAAAAAAAAAAGGTTTTCAGGTAAAGATATGGGAAACGGGAATAACAGTTCTTTACTGGAAGAAAAAAAACTAAATAACAATGTAATTTAACACAAGCAAAACAACCACTGGCAGAGTGAGAGAAGACCTGGCACCCTGAGAAGTCAGGGTGCTGATAGCAGTCCAGCCAAATGGTGGCTGCTCCTCTTGGAGCGGCGATCTGCAGAAGGGTGTAGATCCCTTCCGAAAATGCGGCGAAGGAGCAGCTGGGCCTCGGTTCCTGATTCCTCTCGGAAATCCAGCGAAGAAGGCTGTCTGTGGTCTCAGAAGTGCTTGTTTTATGGTGGCAGGGATGCTTGGCTCCTCCCTCTGGGTGGAGCATCTCCCAATGGGATGATGTAACTAATCTTACCAGCCACAGTGAGTAATTCAATAGCCCATTAGCAGGAGATTATCTTCCTGGCAGTGTCATTGTTCTTGAAAGAGATAAGAAAAACTGCCTAACCCCCAACAGATGGCAAAAACAGAATACATGCTTATTTTACAAGCCAGGACATTATATAGCCCATTAGCAGGACATTGTCTTCCGGGCAGTGTCATTGTTCCTGAAAGAGATAAGAAAAAACTGCCTAACCCCCAACAGATGGCAAAATAGAATACATGCTTATTTTACAAGCCAGGACATATCTCTAGGTCCATGAACAGCACCTTTATTTGCTCCCCTGAAACAAACTGTATTCTCTCCTGTGGCCTCATTCTTCCTTCTCAGACACTCTGATTTGCTGGCTGCTGAGATAAAAGTCACTGCATCTGCACAACACAGCAGCTGACTTTTCAGAGCTGTTGGTGTGCAGGTGCATTTGAATTTAAACTTGGATTGCTACGTTTCTGCCATAATCATCTGCTCGTATTCCTTATTCTTTCTTGCAAATAATTCTTGCTCTGTCATCAACCTGCCTACCAAGAATAAAATTGCAAAAAGGATAAAATTGTCATTTGTAAAAAAGATCTGTATGGACATATTTAGGGAGAAATGTCCTGTTTTAATTCAAGCACTTTTTAAATCTAGAGACAAGCATATTGTGTGGCATAGGAATAAATTCATTTGCACACAGAAGCGTCTTTTACTCCTGGAAGCATCTATCCACAGCATCCTCACAGGTACAAATGATCCTTTTTACTTCTGAATGACAGTTTACTGAGGATGCACTTCTCTTGCAAAAAATCATCATGGACATAGCATAAGCCCACTTGCATTTGCATGCATATACTTATTAATTGCTTACATGGTTTTTAAGAAATAATTTTCTTACCTTCTGACCCTGCCATTGCGACCAAGTAGAGAACCAAAGTGACAGCAACAGATTTGCCATCCATTGCTGTGCACGTTTTCTTGACAGAGGTCCTGTTCTGGTGCTGTTTCCCATCAGGTTTTATACCTGAAAGGTGCACTCCCAACAGCCTGAGTGCTGAGAGGTGGGTTCTGCACACACAGATTTCCTAACACATGAGAGTGTTGCATAAGAAACCCAAACCTCTGTGCAGTCCGTTCAGTGGCACTTCAAACTTCCCTATCTTTTGCTGCTGTATATTTTCAATTATTCTTTAAATCATTGTTGTTATCCATCGCTTTCTGTTTGCACTTCTTCATGGGATATTGGCTTTAGCCAACAATGCTAAGCTTGCACTCAGACATCTCTCTGAGCCAAAATAAAGAGACTTTTTCCCTCCTCTGTGAATATAGAACATCTGTCCAGCATCATGCTTAAGTGCCTTGTGCAAAAAACATTTACACAGCATAAATACAAGAAATTTTCATGCCAGTCTTGCACACTATATTTTGATACGAATCAGATTAAGTTATTTAGTCAGTGTTTTATTAAGACAAGACTCAACTCCTCTTACTCTCTGAAAGGATTTTGTCTTTTTCAATTTGGCTAAAGGGATTTAGATACTTTGTGCTGAGAAGTCTCTCTAGTCACTAAGCAGGAAATGATGAGCTTAAAATGACTGAGGCATCATCACCAAAGTCACTTAAGCTCTTCTGAAACTTTAATCTGTCCATAATATGAAAGGAGAAAGTATCTAGCAGTAAGGGCTGTAATGATACTTGGTTAAAATAAACACTTAGGAAGTTGCTTGTTTTTCTTTCTAACCTCATGCATTTAGAATAATCACAGGTGTTTAAGACAGCAGATAAACACATGTCATAAGTGACTTCTATTGACAAGGAAGAGCAGCCCAGTCTGGTGAAGGTAAACACCAAGTCAGCCACAGTGTTTCCCTTAGCAGTCTCCAAGAGCACCAAAACACATTTTTGGAAGCATGAAAATGGTTGTTGTGATTCTAAGGTAGGTATTCTGTGACTGCACACAGAAGGGGGATGTGATATGCAGTAATTTTTACCCTTGGAATTGCGTCTCACTAATGAGCCTATGGAGGAAGGTGCAGATGCTCTGCCCAGGGTCCTACAAGTGCAGCCATTGCTGACATTTTGGACAGAAGAACTGATGAGAAAAGCCCTTTCTCAGCTGTGGCTCAGCTCCCAGTAACTTGACTGGGATTTTGCTGGTGGCAAAGGTTATGTGTATCTGCATTACACTAAAGCTGATGCCAGTCCTTTAGGATACACCCAGATTTTTATGGCAAGTGGCCTTTCCCAACCTCTCCCCATTCTTGGCTGATACTTGCGACATCCTTATCTCCAAATTACATCTCTGAAAGAAGATATCTTATAAAAATCCCTCAGGATTATTAACAGGAAGGCTTAGACTTGTACGACAAGTCTGAACAAAACCTGTCTCCTTGAGAAACCTTGACTCCTTTGCATTCTGAGGTCTAGCAGGCTGTACAATGCTGTGCAGTGGGACGGGGGCAAATATGGGGACAGGGAGGAAAGTGTCGTCACAATAGTTGTCCTCTTGTACAAGAACTTGCTCAACCACTGCCAAAAACTACCTTTATGTCTTGCACCATGAGCAAACATGAGCTGATTGTGCAGAATGGAGTGGCTCCTTGTCGGAAAAGACCAAACCTAAACAAATATCAAAATATTTGCTCAACTTTCCCGCTTCCCAAGTGTTTGCTGCTTGAATTTCAACATTCTTCTGTTAATTGCTCTGCTACAGGTAGATATAAGGCCACATAATTGGAGCTCTGTTTCTTAGGATTTCCCCTGATGTAGTCCTCCCTCCTAACTGGAATTAGGGAGGATGCATTCAGTGACTTCCTTAATGTTTATCAGATTTCCCTGTTTCTTTAAGCTGATGAAAACCCTTGTTCATTGCCATGTTCTCAGGTGCTCTTCTGTCAGAGCACCACACTGCTATGGCCTTGTGATTTCTGTGACAACCAGTATTTGTTCATTACTATCTGGGAATTGTATGGTCCAGACTTCTGAAAACACTGAGTCTGACAAGAAAGAGGAAGAAAGTAGATAGTTGTCATAATTCCTCTAATAATCTACACTTTACAGAGGCAGTAATATGCTGTTTCAATTTGCTGGCCCCTACAACTCAGATCCCCACGCCTTGCCCTTCGTGGAACACTTTATGTGATACAAACTGAAAGAAAATCCTTCCTCTTTTTATCAGTTCTCTGTTCCAACAAGGAAATTAATAACAAACAATACTGAAGTGAAAACATTTCAACAAGCATTTATTAGGTAGGTAAACATAAAAATCTTCAATAAATAAATAAATAAATAAATAAATATTATTCTATAAATAAATAAAGTGAGGTTTTTTTCTAGGCAAAAGATGGCATTGAAATATATGTTTATACCTTCACAACACTCATTCACAATAAATAATATCTTGAAAATGGTGACACAAAACCTGATGTAAAATAATTTTGACATGTTAATTCTGGAAGCTCCCCTCCTCACCCAGTAGCCCACTATGAGTGGCAGTGACCCAGGTGCAGTTGAAGTTACTTGTCCATGCTTTGCTGGGGAGAAGTTGTTGCTGGTCTTTTCCTAAACTGTTAGCACAAAGGAAATGAATCATTTAGTGAAAGCTCCACTGGGCATGCACTGCACTGTTCCATCTGTGTTTAGCAAAAATTATTCCAGAATCATCCCCATATTCCTTCACAAACTATTTTTCCTGCCTTCTTGTTGAGGTGACTGTGGTTTCTTTCCTACATGATGAGACCAGTTTAAAAGACTAAAAGTATTGTTGTCAACTAACTACAAACCAGGGAATCCATATTCTAAATGCTGTGACATTGTGAATGTAGGAGGCAGGAGGAGGTGAGCTGTCAGAAACTGGGTGAGTGTCTGCCCTATTTTTGCCTCGCTGGAGGAGTCAGGACACTTTTCTTCTTTGTTTTAGGACATTGTCTCAGGTTTGGTGTTGGCCCTAGAAAGAAAGAAGATGGGAAAAGAAGTTATTAAAAATCAACCATACAACAGGTAAGACTTGCTGGTGTCAGCTGAAATCCACCACTTTGTGCTTCTGTGCCCAAGACCCTGAAAAGCTGTGATAGAACCCAAGGGACACTGGTATGTCATAACATTCCCCAGATGATTCAACAGCAGTGAATTTCCATAGTTTGATGCTTCACTTCACAACTGGAGCCTGATTTTCCCCCCATTTATCTATGTGCCAGTTGTTTGAAAAACTGCTTGCTGCTTTCTGCCACTGCAAGCATGAGAAAACCAGTCAGTTAATGCTCAGATTTTCTGAGCAGTTGTGCTGCAAGTTTTCAAAACGCTTGTGCCTTAAGGGAAAGGAAGGTAACCTTCCCAGAGATGTGTGGCTCAGTAAGGCTTCAATAGCTAATGCTGTAATTAAGGCTCAAAGCAATCACAGTGTTTGTCACAATTAGCAAACACAAAAGGTAACAACTGCCCGAGGAGACAGAGTTTTGAAGCACTTCACACCCGCCTGTGTTTGGTAGTTCAATTAAAATACCGGTTTTCAATAAGCTGTGATTATTGAGGAGAAATGACTCACTTGTCCAGAATTGCCTTGATGATCAGCTTCACCCAGGGAGCACTGGGCTCCAGGCACACTTCTCTGCCATCTCTCAGGGTAGCTCTGCAACAGGAAAGAAAGGATGGGAAAAGGGCTGCTTAGTGAAATCCAAGGCAATGCCACCTTTCTCTCATAATAATAACATTCTAGGCATAGACTGACGTGTTACACTTGAAGCTGCATAAACCGAGGCTGTAGCCTAACATAAAGGAATCTTTTTCACTGGTTTGGTATCTTCTCATATCTGTTTGTTTGATGCATTAAACCATCTGCAGGACTCTCCCTCTTTTCAAAACTGCCTTTTCCCCCCAACTGGCTTTGTATTGGTGTCGTTCTTTCACTGAAGAGTTAAATCTTTCCATCTCGATTCAGAAATTGTACTGCCCAGTCCAGAGGAACTTGGTTACTTACAGAAAAAGTTCTGGAATGCAACTGGAATGATCTGTGTGCTAATGGTAGGATTTTTTCATTGACTTGAGCAGAAGTGTGATCATTTTTTTGACCTAGCCCTTAAAAATTATGCTTTTATCTCTTGCTCAACATGGCTCCATGCTTTTTCACAAGCCAGTGGAATTCAGAGTTTTAGGAAGTTATTTGTTGCCTGATGACTGCAAATTTAGGTCAAAATATTGCATGTGTTCAAAAAGTAGAGACTGGGAAAACAACACTCAGCTCCCAACACGTAGCACATCCTCTGCAGGAGCAGGGAATGGTGTTGTTCTGCTTTCTGAGCAGCTGCTTCTGCCAGCAGCTCACACTGCTCACGGAACACTTACACCCAATCGAGAGCAAAATCTGCTTCCTCCTTGTTAAGTAATCAGGAGGGTTTTGCAAAACACTTACATGACTTCAACATTCTTGCAGTGAGGTCCGCTGGGAGTGAGGTTCACGTTTTGGATGAACTTGGGATGGATGAACCTGGAATGGGTGCTTATGCACTGGCACCGGAGTTCTATGGCCGAGCGTGGCACTGCCTCACCTGGCAAACAAAAAAAGGTGGAGTGGTTCACTATTTCCACAGGAAGCACAACTTGGTTTTTTTGCTGAACATTAGGAGAGTCCTTTGCTGCACTGGTAAGACAGCACAGTGTCTCTCCATCAGCATTTGCTCTGGCCATTGGTCAGCAGCGCTTGAGGAAGGGTTTCTTTACCTTGTGTTCCAAGTGCTGAGATCAGGAGCAGGATCAGCACAGCAGCCACAGTCTTGCCAGCCATGATGCAAGTGCGTGTCTTCCTCGTGTGGCCTGGGCCTGGTTCTGTGGTGGGGTGAGCTCTGGCAGATCCCGGGGTGTCAAGTGCCTGTGCTCTGGGACAGGCTGTGTTTATATCCTGCCTGGGCCAGCCGGGGCACTCCGGCATCACGGGGGTTTGGGAAACTCCAAGCCTGCGAGATGCTGCTGAGCACTGAGTCACAGGTGAGTGGGGAAGCCCCTTTCCCTTCATGACCACAAAACTGCTTCTCATTAATAGAAAGCACTTTATGAGTAAAGACACGTAGAGTTGCCCTGTACTGAGCTGTGTGCAGTCTGTATAGAGGTTGTAATTTCTTGGAATAATTTTAATCTGTAGTTTTGTCCTCCTTGTGACTTTCTACCACAGCTCAAAGGCATTTGCTCTGTGATTTTCTATCTCTGTGTCTTTGGACTTCAGTATTATTTTTTCTGTTTTAAGACATGACAGAAATAAGAGCCAATAATTCTAGAAGTTATAGATACTTGCTCTCCATGTCCTTATATTCGTGTACATTTAAAAGACCCCTTTTTATATGCTAAGTTTAGCAGAAATATTTACAGTATTCTTTTGATGAATTTGAATCTAGTTTCACTGAAATAAGCAACAGTACCACTGAGACTGTGTAGTATCATTGAAAACACACAGAATATGTAAATATGATACAATGAGTTGCTTTGTCTACCTAAGGTGGATTGATTTTTTTAGGATGACTGCTTCTTTTGAATCAAAAACTTCCTAGTTATTTGCTGCTTTGAATTTGGGCAAAGGAAAATTCTAAGAGCTGCTGTAGGATTCTGCTTCTGAAATAAAGTGAGGCACTTTTGCAAATTAAATTTGACCCTGTAAAGAGAAAATTTCTTCTGATTATGATGAAAATAAAGAAAACTGAAGATGGGATCATGAAGAAGAATTATTCAGAAGAAGTCAGAGGGGTTCAACCATTTCTTTTAACAGTAGAGACAAATGCTATAATACAACTTGACCTTATTTGGGTTAAACATTAAGGACTGCCATTACTGTTCCTCTGCCAGGTAATGGGGAAGTCAAAGGAATAAAGCATAGGGCCAAATATAAATGAATGTAGGTTATTTTTCTCTGACTGATCATGAAGGTCTCAGAGATTTACATAGGCCAGACTGAATTCCAGTTACTATTACCTTATCTATCATTGTCTGTAGTTTATAAATTGCCTTATAGCACATGATCTGAACAGTAGCTATTCCAGAAGCTATGGAATTAAGTATGCAGTTTCCCTGTCACTTTACAGCTTGCAGAAAATACAGCTGGATTAGCTAACAGATAACCAGATAAACCCCTCACCACAGCCCCTACTTGTCTGACCTGAGGTCTGCCTAGGGATTGTGCTCTTCAACCATGGCAATCAGCAGGTGTCTAGGAATGTGTGAGAGAATACTAAGTGTCTTTGAGACTTAACCCTAGCAGTCTGATTCTGGTTTCATTTGCTGCCTCCTGATTCTTTTACAGGATAACAAGAATCAGATATTGATCCTTACCCTGATTTCCACTGGCTTCATACTTCTGTAGGCCTTTATCATGGCTCCACGTCAACCTCTTTTTCTAGGTGCTGCCCTGTCCAGCAGACTGAGTTGTTTGTTCCTAACTCTGGACTTTTTATTTTCTCTTCATACACTATTTCCATGCACAGCAAGCTGTTTACAGAAATGCAAGCTAGAGCATGAATGGAAAAGTCTTCTGGCCTGCATACAAGGAGAAAATGGAAGGATGAATTGCAGGGCCTAATGAGTGTGGATTTTTTTCCCAAATATTTCCAATAAATCATTATTCCTGTTTAATTTCACAAATTATTGTCTGTATCCCAAGTAAAAAGTTATTCTTTCTGGGCTCTATATGCAATGAAGCTTTTATCCTTCCTCCTCTTTGTGCAAAACCTTCTGCCTGTTTGGTTTTAAGGAAGCATGATTTCTGCTTTCTTGGTCCAGACAGACCAGATGTTTGTGGCTCTGTGTGTTTTACTCAAATATAAAGAAAGGGCTTAGGTGTTGTGAGTCTATCAGAGACAGATTACAGCATTACAAGTCTTGACATGGAGCAGTGGGACAGCTGAGTACTGTTCTGGAGACTGTGCTGTGACTTGTAATCTACGATGTAGGGAGCAGAGTGCTCAGGACTGGCCTGCAAAAAGCTCACAGTCCACAGAGACAAATTCTCTCCTGTGATTACCAGAGAGAAGTCAGAAGAGATGAACTCTGAATGAAAAGGTCACAAGTTTTATTGTAAACTGTGTGATTTGGGCCAAAGACAGCAGCTGTTGTTCCAACTGATCTAAAAGGGCCTTGTCTGGGAGATGTGAGGTGGGTGAATTAAGAGCTGCTGGAATTCAGGCTCACACACACTCTGACTGAAGAGAGCCATTGCTAAGCCTTAAATACGAGTGTCATAAACGATATCTGATACCCTTCAGCTGTATAAACACCTTTTTGTCATAAGGGTCATGAATACAGCTATTGAGAAGCTTCCATTTTCTTGGCAGGAGAGTGCCTTAACAGCTACCAAGCGATAAGATTTCTGAGTACTGATCCTTATCAGCAGTGTATGACACACAGGAATGCAGGCTGTCCTGCGTCAACTTCTGACACTGGTGTGTGGTCCAGCAGTCCCTGTCCAAAACCCATGGCAAACTGGTATTTGCAGGATTAGTTCAGAACAAACTGCAGGTGCTACAATAGGCGTAGGATTCAGTAATTCCACTAATCAAGGCTTCCACATCAGTTATACTATAGAAAACAAAGGGCAGGAGAGAGGCTGAGGTATGAAAACACTGCAGTTTCTCAGATAATTTTCTGTGTGTTCCTGCCCTTCTCTGACTTGAGTGCCCAGGAAATTTACATTTCCTTATGCCCACATGAACAGTGAGGAATTCCTTTCCCCTGGGGGGATCCTTGAGTGCCCTGTCCTCATTTCCCTCAATGACTGTTCACTACTATCTTTAGTAATTCTGCCTTATGCCTGGAATTTTACATCCAAACATGTAAAAGATGATTTAAAAATTGCTGAGCAGCTGAGTCAGTCCATGTGACCTGATGGGGTTTTTTGAAAGAATGTTGAGTTCCACAGGAAAGGGTAGTCCTGTTTCGCTTTACATTTCCTTTAGGCAAAATCTTCCTCTTAATTTCTTACACTTCTGTGACTCTGTATGCAAAATCTCTTGATATTTTTGATCTGCAGTAGGAAAATTCTTCAACATCTTTGTGGTATTTTCCTGGCTTTTGGGATCTTTAGTTTCATCTGTGTTTTGGCAGTGAGATGGTCTCTACTCTGAACCTTTCCTGAGGCAAACTGGCTGACTTGAGATGGCCAAACAAAGAATTCATTATAGTTACAGATGCCATAACTCTACATCTTTCCCTACTAATAATTCTTAATTAGATATCAACAAACTCCACAAGATTTTAAGTTTGCCAGCTTTCACGCTGAATGACTTTTACATGAAAAATATAGAATAAAGGGCTGTAATTAGAAATGTAACCATGAGATTAATTTTTGGTGTCTGTCTTCTATGAGCTTCTGCAATGTCTGATCAGTCCTGTGCAAAAATATTAATTCTCTTTTGTTTAGTTAATGTGCAATTCTGCAAGCTTAACTTGTTTTGCTGAGCCCTCCATCTCAGAAGAGGCTCGCTGAAATTTGTGTGGCTGCCTCCTTTCAGTTGATGTTTGTAGTTGATATTTACCCTCATTTAAAAAAATGGAAATTGCATTTGTTCATTTCTAGAAGTGCTGGATATGGAGTGGAGGGTCTTTGTCAAATCAGTCCTACACTGGGCAGGTGTTACAAAGGTCACTGTGCCAGTGGTTTAAGAAAGGAGTTTAATTAGTCATAAAATTGCACAGTCTTCTGAGAACGAGGATGAGAGGCAGAGCTCTGCTGAACCACAGCAGTACTTCCTCAGAGCACAGGAGATGATGATCCCTATTCCTGTATTTTCCGTGCAGCCCGTGATTGTTGCTGCAGAGAAGCACAGTTGCAACATCCTTGCTGGTGAATGTTTTTTTCCACCTGCCCTGCTGATGAGATCTCTGGTTCAGAGGCAGGTGAGGTGCCTTGGAGCTCTGTCTCGAGAGCACATGGCACGTGGATGTCCCTGCTGCACCAGCAGCTGCTGCAGGAATACACAATTATATCACACACCTGAAGTCCTTGCTAGCACTTCTTTCTCTCTCTCCCGAATTTTCTGTCAGCCAGGTTGATTTCCCAGTGTTCATCCTGCTGGCTCTTCTAGGTCCTGGTGCTGTGCATTTAATATTCCATGCTTGCAGCTGCACATCTAAAATTCACTAATGGAGATGCTGAGCCTTGCTTCAGGACTCCCTGAGCTTCCAGCAGAGTATTTGTGGTTTACTCAGAACTTGATTCACGTTTTTCAGCACTTTGAAGGACTCCAGAATTGCAGTTCTTCCTTTCTGTGCCCTGTGGCAGATTCACAATACGACAAAAGCCATTTACTGATTGAGTTTGATGGAAAATATCTGTCTTTGTATATTCCTGGGTTTTTCCCATGTATGTAGTAACTGCATAGGAAATGAAATCATCTCCAGAAAGGGAAGTAGTATTGAGAAAAAAAAAAAAAAAGAAAAAGAAAAAGAAAAAGAAAAAGAAAAAGAAAAAGAAAAAGAAAAAGAAAAAGAAGAAATGGACAGAATGCTGCCTGAAACATTGTCAGGATATTCAAGCTACTCAGCATACAGCAACTTCATCAAAGGAAAAAAGAGACCAGTTTAATTGCATTAATTGCATTTTTAAGAAAAAGAAACCTAATTGCAGTAGGATTACTCAGGGACTTTCCAGTATTGCAATACATGGTATCACCATGTATTGTCTTTCCTATTATATAGATGCCTTTTTTCATTAATCATCATATGTAACTGAAAACCTAATGGTATGATACAATACATGAACAAAAGAGTTACTCAGAAAAATATTTTATTCAGTGTGACAAAGCCAAGACTTCCAGGACTGAGCAGGAAGAGTAGCTGAGAACAGGGAAAGGACTGGAGAAAATCCTTGGG